AGTCCTGGGGTTATGCAACCATCACCACAATCAATTTTAGAACAGTTTCATCACCCTAGAAAGAAACCCCATACCCATTAATAGTCACTGCCCTTTTCCTCCCAACCTCCCCATCCCTAGGCAATCACTAATCCACTTTGTCTCTGTAGTTTTGTCTGTTTTGGACATTTCATATAGATGGAATCATATGAATAGGTGCTCTTTCACGACTAGCTTCTTTCACTTAGCAAGTTTTCAAGGTTCATCAATGCCGTGGTGTTTATCAGTGTATCATTTCATTTATTTACTAAATAATATTCCAATTATTCTCACAATAATAATGTGAATATGACACATTTTATGTATTCATTCATCAATTGGTGGCTACTTGTGTGCTTTCAACTTTTTGGCTAGAATGAACAATGCTGCTATGAACATTTGTGTACAAGTTTTATGTGAACACTAGTTTTCAGTTCTTTAGAGTATGTATCTAGCAATAGAATTGCTGGGTCATATGGTAACTTCATGCTTAATATTTTGAGGAACTGCTAAACTTTTCCAAAGTGGCTGTATCATTTTACATGCCCAGTAGTAATGCATGAAATTTCAAATTCTCCACATCCTTGCCAACACTTGTTATCATCTGTCTTTAAAGGGCAGAGACAGAGGGGGAGAGAGAATCACAAGCAGGCTCCACTCTGATAGGGCAGAGCCCAACATGGGGCTCGAGCCTACAAACTTTGAGATCACGACCTGAGTCAAAATCAAGAGCCAAACGCTCTACTGAGCCACCCAGGTGCCCCTCTCATTATGGTTTTGATTTCATTGCCCTAACAGTTAATGTTGAATATCTTTTCATGTGCTTAGTAGCCAAAATTTGTAGAACTTATTTGCAGAAATGTCTGTTCAAATCCATTTTTCAATTGGGTTAGTTATGAGAGTTCTTTATATAATCTAGTTACAGATCCCCTATCAGATATATGATTTACAAATATTTCCCCCATACAATCAGCTGTCTTTTCACTTTCTTCGATAGTATCCTTTGAAGCACAAAAAATTTTCATTTTCATGAAATCCAATTTATCTATTTTTTTTTCATTTCTCATTTCCCTTTGCTAATTTATCCTTTCCCCAAACAGGAGAATTTTACAGCAGGCTCTACATGAAATCAATTTCTTCACTAGAAAACTAACTGAACTTTCAGAAACACGCTGAAAACAATCTAGATTTCTTTTATCCCAGTTGTATTAAGTGTATTCTCAATTAGCAGAGCAGAGTTCTCAAAAGTAGCTGAATGGCCAAACTTTTGTCAGCGGAAACTATTTTAGCCACATTTTCGTTTAAAGAAAAAAATTTTTCTCAACATCCTTTCTCCAGTTTCTGTTGGAAAAATACTCTGTGGACCGTGGTCACTACTAATAACACTTCTTGTTGTTGGGAAAGCTCTTGTGAAACATTTGTCAAGCACATAAAATAGTATAAAAGTGAAATATGGTAATTAAGATTTGTGTTCTATCGATTGTATAGCTAAAGTAATTTTTCATTACCTACGTAAGATTTAATAAGTATAAGTAGTTAAAGATTCTTACTTGGCACTAGTCATTAGCATGTAATTGAACTAGTAAAAAAATCAGTTAAAGCTGTGTTGATTACCACCTTATCTTTGAAAGGCAATTAAAGACCTCAATCATTGCAACAAGATTTGATTGTGCAGCCTTTATTGGACATTGATCTTTCAGCAAAGTGCAGTTACATTTTCCATTAATTTACAGTAGCACAGTTTAACTTTGATACCCTAGACTGTTGACCCAGGTGAGATGTAATGCTAAGTACTTGTTTAGGTTAAGATGCCCTCAAACATCATTACTGTCTGAATGGTAAGTGCTGAACAAAAGTAGACACCCGATCTACCAGCTTTAGGATAAAGTTTCTGTTATCTGCATTAGCTTTTAAATTAAGTGAAACCAAGATCCTTATCTTTAGGTCACCCCACTCATTTAAACATCACTCCTTGTTTAACAGAATTAAGAGATATTTCATGAAGCAGTATAGATGTTCTCGCTTATAGTTTTGCATGACTATAAATACAAATGATAAATAAAATGCACATTTTAAAATAAATATATGGCTTTTAATAATTTAAAATGTTTCGATTTCTTACTGAAGTCAACAACTAGCAATATATTAGTGACCAAATTTGTGTGATAAAGAAATAACTAATTGTACAATTGGCTATGTTAAGACATTAGCGCTGAAAAACTAGGGATTTTCGTATTAGCCACCTCTTTCATGCCCCCAATTCTTATCGCATCTTTATGGTAGTTCACAGCTTACACAGGAACTAAAAATTTTGACTCGAAATTTCTTCCAATACTTGCTAATCGACTTGTATATAAATAACAATAGATTTACAGAAATTTTATACTAAGAACACATCTTTGTTAAAAGATAGTTTTGCTTGATTTTCAAGTCAAAATCCCAATAAAGAAAGATTGGCAGAAAAGCTGTTTTTGGTTGCTTCATTAACTAAGAATATTCCTGATATCCAGAAGGGCAAGGTCAGCTCAGACCCCTGCCTGCCACCTCAGGCGTCATCAGCATGTGCACACACATAAAATGCCTTCAATGTGTCCCCTTTCTTCCCCTCACCTTCTTTTTAAAATCCTTTGATTAATGAAGCCTTTTACACACAAATAGATATGGAACAGAAGAATGAGGGTTACAAAAACTGCTTTTACTGAAATAAAACTGGCATTTGCTTACAAGCATACTGATGATACATTTTAAAGTAGAAAGGCTTATTTTGTTCTTCTCAGATTACAGGTAGAAAAAACTTAAGACACAAAGGAGTAGAGTTATTAGCTTGAGGTCAAAAAGTAATACAGCACTGATACTAAAAATAGAATCAATCTCCTGACTTCCAGCAGTTATACTTTATCCCTTTTAGGCCATGGAGCTTCCGTGTATTTTCCACTTTAAAGGAAAAACCATTACTGTTCAATGGGGAGCATTTTTAGACTAAAAGGTTCACTGTAAGACTTAATAAATCCAATGAATGATATTTTAATATTTGAACCATGCCCTTAGCCATCGTTGAGTTCATCCTTCACCATGATCAACTCCATGAGAGCAAGAGGTCTATTGATTTTCATGTAATACAAGAAAATATTACATTTGCTTAATTGTTACACAGTGAGCACATGAGACAAGAAATCAAGGCTCTATTTAATGCTGCAAGCAGCAGAGAATTACAGAGATCAATAGGGTAGTTTGTCAAAGATCTTCTCCAAGGAGACTTACCTATCACCATATGGACAAGAAGTCACACTGACTGTAGCTATTGAAAAACAGGTAAGCAGAGTCAGCAGTACAAATTATCAGAAATCAAACAGGCCAGTGTGAAAAGAAGTGCAACTCTACTGAAAAGCTGTATTTATAGTCTGGTAATTAAAAACCATTTTATCAGCCTTGTGCTGGGACCAAACCTTTACGGCAAGTATTGACAAGATAAGCAGCAGTGAATGAGCAGTATTTGACTTAAAACTTATGAGCTATAGTTATTTAACTTTGCCCATTGCAGGGGAAATCAGTTCTAGCCTTCCTTGCAAAATGCTAATAGTTAGTTTTATTATTAATGAAGTCTAATGTAACACTATCTTCTTTGTGTAAGCCATTCATTTAACTAGTGTCAAGTAGATTCTTCTGGACTAAATATATTGGCATAAGTACTTCTTTGATTAAAGTGTTATTTAGAATTGCTTTTAGACAAGTGAACACTACATATATTTGAAACACAGCTCATTCTCTGTAGCTTATTTAAAATGACTACCTTGAACGAAATCAGTTTGTATTACTTTACTCTGGCATTTTCACCTCAAGTTGCTTCCAATCACTTTCTCTACTGATTTGCCAGAAGTGAGCACCCAGTTGTTGGTTAGATTGTATTATAGAATATTTTGCTATAAAAATGTGTAAACATTGCAGAGTATCAGCAACACATTAACATAAAATGATATATAATGTATGTTTGTAATTATGGGAGAGATCATAAATCTTAAACACCCATTGGTTTAGAAATTAAATAGTTCTACTTAGTTCTCCCTAAATTACTCCAAATTTCTGAAATTTACCCTTCGTTTGGGTGTTTTGTAACTACCCCCAAGGATAAATTTTTTTAAATGACTTTGCTTTCAAAAATGCAATTAACTTAATAAAATCTTAGCACAAAACTGCCATCAGGTCTCTAAAATTTCAGCCCATTTCCCATCACCAATAAGTGTATGGATATGTACCATTTCAGCTAATTGCTTTTATAAACAGTCACCACATTTATTCTTCTGGGTCTTTGTAGATCTTAATTGTCCATACAGCTTTATCAGCATGCTATTTTAACTTTTAATAAGTCTGAATTTCATTCATCTTGCTACATTTACATTAACCAGAGTCATTTTTTTTTAAAGTAGTATGGTATTGGAGGTTTAGACAATATGAAGGCTCAACATTATACCTGGACCTCTCATCCAGGTAAATGGCACAAGGGCTTTAAAACATTCCCATTTAAAGTCCTGGCAGCCGAACAGTTTAGACTTCAGACTGCAATTAGAATTCATCACTTTTGGATTTGCCAATAATATTATCTCCACCTATATCCTAAAATCCTCTACTTCTTTTTCCAATGTCATGGAAAAGATTTTTCCCCTTCCTTCTTTGGGTGGATGTCTCTATTTTCTCTTCAAAGAATCGATTTAAATTGTTAATACCTAACTAGAGAATATATATAGGTTATAATCATTTTTTATCTGTAATTTAACCTAATTGTAGGGGGGAAAATGGTGTATGCTTCATGCATTTGTAGTTCCCATTGGCTAAACCGAGTACGCAATATATAACCATGTATGAAAAGCTTTGCCTCTTGAGGGCAATGATTCATCTTAAAGAATCAGACACCACAGAAAGAAAAAGGTGCTTGCAAAAGTTTTATTTTAAAGGGTCAAAAATAAATATTGTATATACACACAAGAGAAAATCCACTGATATTTTATGTTCTCCAAGGCCCACCCTTCAATACATGGCACCTTCATCTTCTTTATTTAGAAAGTAAACTGTTATTGGCCCATAACTGGTATGCACAGTCTCTGTGACTCTAGCAAATAACCAGGATCCAAGTCCATACAATAAAGTTGGAATACCTAGAAAACAAATGGATACATTTTTATGAACATCAATACTTATTAATCACACATCAATATATTTGTCATGGTACCAATCACAAAGCACTCCTCAGCAAATTATAAAGTTATAACAAATTATAAAGTTATAAAAATATAAAGACATTAGTAAAGACGGACTCTAATTATCTAAGTGCTCAACTTTAACTGTTTGTGGAACTGTGTGAGACTAGAGATCTTTAAAACTATAGATAAAACTGGCTTAAACTTTAATTTGAAGCAGTTTATAAGCACTAATTCATTACTTCCAAGGAATTATGAATAATTTTATTATTACTTTCACAAGTAAACAAACAGAATATTCATTAATTTAGTTGGAGATGCTCCTGATTATTGGCCTTGAGCTTAAATTACTAGGTCAAATTTACTGTGTGTTAAGTTAAATAGTAACACTGATGGCTAAAGTAATTTTTTGTATAACTTAAAAGAAACTGGGTCAAAGAGCTGTCTTCAAAACCGAAGGCAAAATGTAACTCTAAGGAAGATTTTAGTATAACAGGCATGAGAAATATTCTCATTAGTATTTTTACAGCTGATCTGAAAACAACCTTGTTTCAACCTATTTGGAATAGGTATCAAGTAGATTTCAACAATGTGTTTCTTCTTTGGAGTGTTTCCATTTGATAAGATCTTGATGTTATATTTGAGATAAGTGGCCATTTGCGATTCATGGAACTAAACATACTAACCAGAGATAATGGATTAAGTGCTCATGCATATGAAACTATAGTGGACACAAAAGGAACTTTCACAATTCCTATCTCTTTTAAGGCGCTTATTTAAATTCAGTGACTATTGACATATTAAAAAACGTGTAAAACCAACAGGCATCTGAATCAATAACAAACACTGTATGCTCTACACAGTATTAAATTTATTGTTCCCGTGTAGGAGCTGGACAGAAAAATGACAATTTAAAAGAGCTGTCCATTTGGGAAATCCCTCTTTCTAGTTAATAGGGAAATCATATGCTCAGGACTAATCATCTTGCCAAATTTTTTTCTTATTTTTCTGCAAGAATATATCTGTTGTGTTATGATCTTTTTGAATAAGTGCATTGGACTACTTTGTGCTTATTCCCTGAAGCTGCATTCCAACCACTGTGATGCCAGAGATTAATCAGGGGAAGCGTCACTCTCTGGCAATGAAAACAGGAAAAAAAAAATGCTGGCACCTCTCTATTTTTAGGAATATACTGGGTCACAGTTTGTCACTATCACAGGGTTCCCTGGAACTCCTATGAAATCTTTGACAGTATATTGCCTTCTTTGCCTTGGTATTACCCAAAAGAATCTCTAAATGCTTGCTTCAAGGGAATATCACAAAGAAGCCACAAAAACTAGCATCATAAAGCTATTTATAAATAATTTTATCAGAAAGAAAAAAAAGGAAAGTAGAGTGTGGTTACAGAAGTGCACAGGCAGAAGTGAATGAAGAATAGAAGAAGTTGAAATAAAAAATTAAATACGGCATCACAACTTTAAAGCTGAAAATCAATGGGGTCAGGAAGAAAAAACAGGTTCTAGAAACAAGTATTAATTTTTAAAAATATACCAACAGTAAAATATGTAAGATATGCCTTTTTAACCAATTTAGCATTGGTTTAAATCTTTCTATCCTCACCAGACATAAATTTAAGGAACGGCTGGTGAAACGGAAACCTTGCTTTATAGTACTTATCAGTTTCCAGTTAAAATATTGGCATGTTTTAAAAACCACAAAAATCAATAGTCAATATTTTTTTCAGCTAAAATGGAGAAGTGATCAAAGATTACTAGCTTAATAATAACTACATTATCTCTCACTAAGAGACAGTTAGGAACCACTGTCAGTAATGTTTGGTAGGAGATAGAGTTGTTTGACAGGAGTCAAAAATTCTGTATTTCTTTTTTCCTGCAGTCTATTTAATGCAGTCAGGCTAATACACTAATTGAGAATATTTGCCACTTACATATTTAAAACATAAAAAAAATAATTTTATGGCACATATGCTATAAACTCTATAAAATTCTGTGAGAAATTAAATTTTTCCCAGACTGAAACATAACATCAAAATCAACATGAAAGTCAGTTCTTTGCATAATAATTCATCTTGAGTCAGCTGAACAGTAGGTAAACCACTGTCAAATTAAGCACTTAAAAAAAATTAGAACTTCTTAGCAAGTCTCCGATTACCCATTCATTCCAATGGTAAGTTGCTTTTCTTAAATCTCAATCTACTTCCCAGCAGGATACCCAGACTGATAAACCATCAGTAAAATGTCAGCTTCCACTGAAGGGAAGGCAGAGGAGAGAGGGAATAAATGGTAAAAGAGACATCTTTATTATTTACAAAATGGACAAATGAATTACTCCGATAATTACTAGTTTAGAAGGGAATAAGAGGAATACAATCTTAAGTATTTTTATTAATAGAATATGTACTTGATGAGCCAGAGGGGCAACTGTACATCACAGAACAGGGAAGAAGCTATTATCTAATTCCCTACCGTAAGACAAAAATACAAAATAAACATTGTACCAAAGTGACGAATACACTACTTTTTTTAAAAGTCCAGGAAAAAAACTCCCTTTATCAGTAAAAGCCAATTCATATTAAAGCACGAATGAGCAGAGAGTTTTCCTTTTTGTTTAACTTAAAACTCTTATTCCCATGTAGGCAGGATTTTTAGAATTTCCAAAAGACCATTAAATCACTCTTCAGCCTTCTCTTCCACATAAAAAAAATTACAACTGTTGTTTCTTTCCTCAAAAGGTTCCACTTCTCTGTGTGAGAATGTTCTGTGTATTCTAATTTTCTTTGGATTTCTTTGTATCTATATGTAAAAGAGAAACTCCTAATCGTTAAGGTGTTCTTAAGGTGTTAAGTTTTAAAAGAAAACTTTCTTTAAAAGGCATTTGGCTCATGGCTTACCTATAATCCTCCAATTATACTTTTCCTAACCTGTAACTGTTACCATTTGGGAAGAATGATGGCTTCTTATTCTGAAAATGCTAAACTTCTTCTTAAATCTAGTCATCACTCCAGTTTTTCCAAATAATTTTGAATTGAATCTAAGTGAGCTCACCCTTCAACTTTGAATCAACCTCAAAATTAGTGGGCATGCTCTATATAGTCCATCAACCAAACAGACAAATTTTAAAAGGCATACACATTGCTAAATAAATACTCTTCTCCTTGGTGGACTGAACCCAGGACAGTCCCAGTGCACCAATGGCTCAAAAATCCCATGAGAGACATATGTGCTATTATAAGCAAAAGTACATAAATACCATATTTCAATTTAATGAGCTATCAGAGTTTTATAATACCAGTGCAGATATACAGGGGCTTCACTTTAATTCCGGTTTAAAAAAAAATGGTTGGGTAACATGGTTAAGCTACCAGGTTCAGATTCTGAATTACTAAAATCTGGATTAATATGATAATACCTATTAATAGGTACAAAACATCTTGAGGCCTTTCTATTTTTCACTGACCTAGAAAAGATATACCCATGTCAATGTTGATGCCTCTTCTGTCATTAGCCAAAAGAAAATAAACATCCATCAAGAGTAAATACTCTCAGAATTAGAATATTCCCATGAAAACGCAGAAATATTAAAGACGCTGAGTCTTTTAAATATCCTTTAGGCCTAGCACCTGAGGAAGCTGATAGGACTGGTGAAAACCGTTAGCGTTTTCAGTAAAACGCACTTGGTGGGATTTCACAGAGAGCAAACAATGAAACTTACAAAGTAGCTGCAGTTTTTATAATAATGAATGCACTCAAGAGAATGATGGTCATGAACGAATCCTGCCACGCAATAAGGCATTTCTTAATTTCAGAGCCACTTTCCAATGGGCACGTTTCCTTACACCCTCTTACTGACTGCCCAATGTAGGGGTCCTCCCAGTCAAAAGCTGCAGCAGGTGTGGACAGAATGAATGCCTCCTCCCCAGCAGTGACGCAGTGTGGTCCCTAGATACAGACCTGGGCTAAAGCCCCACTTTCCGGGGAACGGTTCAATAGCATCTACTTAGCCCCGACAAGCACCTACTGGGGAGTGGAGGGCCGGGGAGGTAGAAATACAAAAGACCAGGGCCAAGGCCAGTCCTAGAAGGCAGCTGAGTGAGTGAGACGCAGAGGCAAGGTCCGGGAAACCCAACAGCGCCGGGCGATCCAAAAGCGCCGAGCGCGTGCTCCCGGGAGAGGCCGAGGCAGAGCTCCCCTGCGCTGACGGGGCCTGACCTTGGGCCGGGGTCTCGACCTCTGAGCGACGTTTGTCAGCGTGCTTTGCAAACAGTGATCCCATTGTCAGCGGGGCGTGTTTCACCGACCCGGGCCACTCACCCAGGTTGACGACCTTGAGCGCTGTGAAGAACCGGTCCTGCCCGGCCAGGTCCTGCCAGGGGGCCTTGGAGCAGTGGTACTTGATGAAGGGGAAGCAGCCGGTACGCAGGACGTGGTAGTTGGCGCCCTGCACCGGCCAGTTGAAGTGCGAGAGGCCGAACTGGTCGTTGCGGACAGCGCTGTAGGGCACGCAGAAGGAGGTCCAGTGCGGCAGGCGCCGCTGCAGCAGGTGCAGCGTCAGCACCTCCGAGGCGCGGGGCTTCGGGCGGGAGGCGGCGCCCGAGGCCCAGGGCCCGCACAGCAGCAGCCGGAGCGCGGCCTCGTGGGCCCTCCGCAGGGGCTCCATGGCCGGCCTCGCCCGCGTCCCCGCCCCTCTGCCGCCGTGGGGCGCGCGCCGCTGGGGGCGGAGCCGCCGGAGCGTGCGCGCGCCCGCGCCCCGGGGCGAGCGGCGGGGACGCCCGCGGGAGTGCGCGAGAGCCCCCGGGGCACGGAGGCGCGTGCGCACGAAGCTCTCGCGGCCTCCCGCGGAGCGAGCGGAGGGTACTGGGGGCGGGCCCCGGGACCGGCGCTGGGAGTCAGGGTCAGCGACGCAGAGGAGGTAATTAAATCGTCACGTGTGACCTCATGTAGTTAACAGCTAGGGGGGGGGGGGGGGCCGCCGGGCGCGGACTTTTGGGAGGTTTATCTGTAGGGGTGTGAGGAAAATTAAGGCTTAAAACAAATAACCACCCTAGTGAGTGGCAGAACTGACACCCAGATCTCGCTTCCAAGCCTTGGGCTCAGGTGACATTCTTAGATGGAGTGGTCGAGGAGACGTTTGAGAGGTGACATCAGGGAGCTGAGTTAAAACCCAAAAGTCCCCAGATTTGCGCTGGCCGGTAAAGTCGGGAAGCACATTTATGTTTAGGTCTTTGCTGTCATGTTCACTATTTAGGGTAAGCCCCAGATGTTTCAAAATAAAAAGGTTATTTTTGAAAAACGCCCCACATCATCTCTGTGCATTGCCCAGATGCGCCCCACTACCTCCCTACTAAAGCTTGGTGAGTGCCAGACCAGGGATCTGTTAGGTATGAACCTTCCTCAGCTACCCATTATCAATTTATTACTTTAGGAAAACCTTTTCTCAAACTTCCCAGCTGCTTGAGGTGTTATAAACACCTGCTTAAAAAAAATGTTTTTTAAAGTTCATTTACTGGGGAGAGACAGAGACAGAGTGGGTGAAGGAGGGGCAGTGAGAGGGAGAGAGAGAATCCCAGGCAGGCTCTATGCTGCCAGTGGGAGCCCAAAGTGGGGCCTTAACCCAAGAAACCAGGAGATCATGACCTGAGCTGAAACCAAGAGACCAAGAATGGTATGCTTAACAGACTGAGCCACCCAGGCGCTCCATAAACACCTGCTTCTAAAGAAACATATCTTCCTGTTTGTCCTAAACTCATCTTGTTTGGAGAAACCATTCATAAATAAGATGATGTGTCTAGAAAGCATTGTATGTAAAAGAGAAAATCATGTGTAAGCACTATATAACAACTATTATTGGGATGAAGGATAGTGTGGCTAGTTTTTACATTTTCCAGGTTTTTTTAATAGTTTTTTTTTTTAATGTTTTATTTTTGAGAGAGAGAGAGTACAAGCAGGCGGAGGGGCAGACAGAGAGGGAGACAAAGAATCCAAAACAAGCTCTAGGCTCTGAGCCATCAGCACAGAGCCTAATGCGGGGCTGGAACTCACAAACCGTGAGATCATGACCTGAGCCGAAGTTGGACGCTTAGCCTACTAAGCCACCCAGGGGCCCCTAAAAAAAATTTTTTTTAAGATTTTAGGTGGAGGCATGATGTGGTTAGATTTGCAATAGAAATGGCTACGGGAGGCTAAGACGAGTCAGGGAGGTGATTCAGTATGGTGATTTTCAAATTAAATTTTAAAAGGCATTGGAGTCTTTTTCAAATAAAATCTGTCACAGAACCCCAACATAGCAAGTAGATGAAACCTTGTGTTTTATTATTAAACATTTAAAAGTTCAAATTTGTAACATCAACTTTATAGGTAAATTAAAAAAAATGAGGGTGGTTTGTTGTCTTAGGGTTTTGTTTGTTTTTAGCAGACAAGGAATTTATAGGAGGGAAATTGGGTAGCTAAAGTAATAAATAGTCTGAAGAACCAAGCTCAGAAAATGGGAAGGAACCAAGGGAGTCTGTGAACAGCAAAAACCAAGGGAAACTAGTCTGGTTTTCAGTCTGCTACTGAAGCCATGACTCTGCTCTTTTATGCCCGAAAATTTTTGAAGTTGGGGATTATGGACAACAGTAGCAGTTGGGATAATTACAGGCAGCTTCAGGACACTTTCTTATTCTTCTGTTTTGGTTGTACACTAACAAGAGTATTCTGGTCCCTCCAGAAAAGTAAATACAAATTAGAGTGGTTTAAAATGACTTACGTTGAAATCTTGGACATGTGCTTCAGTTACAAAGATGGCAGGAGGAAATTAATTCTGAGATCTACACTAAGATGACTTCACCTCAAATGAATCTGTGGGCGCTTTGCAATATGTTATGTTTGGTCATTGTATCTCTTGGCTGTGTAAAAATCTAAAAAGTGCAACTTGAATCAAACATTTGTGGAACCTAAAGCATGTCTGAGAAATTCTAGGTTTTGTGGCATATATGAAGTGAAAACCACTGATAAAGACAACCACATGCTTAGATTAGGGTCACTGCATCCTCCCATGAAGGCTTAGGAAAAGGGCTTGGAACCGAAATATTTCTACTGGAAGGTGCCCTCTTGGAAAAAGCTCATCAGTGCTGAGGGTTTCCTTAATTCAAGGCTCCATGGCTATTTCTCTCTCTCCTACTCTATGGTGGGAAATTACCAAAGAAAGCAGATAGAAGGTGGATCACACTAAGGTATTCAAGAGCGTTTGAATGGAATATTACCTTAACCTAAAGATTCAGAGCTGGAAGACATGACTTCTGCTATCTCTTCTGATTGTACGGTGCTGGTTCCATAATTGAAATAGATAGTTTCTCAAAAAATCCACAACTCAGATCAGTTCCACATTTTTTTAAGGTTTTATTATTTTAAATAATCTCCATACTCAACGTGGGCCTCAAGCTCACCACCCTGGGATCAAGAGCCACTCCACCAACTGAGCCAGCCCGGGCGCCCTTAGTTCCAATTCTTTTTTTTTTTTTTTAATATTTTTATTTATTTCTAGGAGAGAGAGAGAGAGAGAGAGAGCGTGAGCAGGGGAGGGTCAGAGAGAGAGGGAGACACAGACTCTGAAACAGGCTCCAGGCTCTGAGCTGGCAGTCAGCACAGAGCCCGACGCGGGGCTCGAACCCACGAACCGCGAGATCATGACCTAAGCGAAAGTTGGACGCTTAACCGACTAAGCCACCCAGGCGCCCCCCTTAGTTCCAATTCTTAACGACCATGAAACAAAGTGGCTTAGAAGTTGGCATCCAAAAACATAAGTCAACGCTTAAGAAACACTGTGTTCAATAATTAAGAATTAATGCAGTAAACACACAAATACTTTGTTTTACACAAAACATGGAGAAATTGCAAACCCCTTAGAAGGAACCCCTTAAAAATAACTATGAAGATTGATGCTGTGTACAGCATTTAGCCTGTGCATGGATATGATGTTGCTCCTAGAAAGAAGGGATTTAGCTTTCTTGTTTTTGTTTTAAAGGCACCTAGGATGCCACAGTTGTTCAGAACATGTTAAAAATTAGTTCTTCAAAATTGATAAATTTTAATAAATTAAAATTAAGAATTCTATTCATTAAAAGGCACTATATTAGTAAGAGAATCAAAAAGTAATCCATAGGTTGGGAGAAGTATTTGCAATACATCTAACTGACAAAGCATTTGGTATCCAGAACAAATCACTAAAAAAAGACAATCCAATAGAAAAGTAAATGAAATATTTGAATGTACTCTTCACAAAGGAGGATATCCAGGTATCTAGACTATCCATATGGGAATAAGTGCTTAATTTCAGTAATCATCCAAAAAAGGGAAATTAAAACCACAATGCAATACCATTACGCACCTACCAAAGTAGCTAAAGTAGGTAAGTAGAAAAATACTGAATGTTGGTGAGGATATACATCAATTACAACTTTTATACACTGCTGGGGCAACCAATTTGGAAAATTTTTTTGCAGTATATTTTACAGCTACGGATGTAGTATTATATGTAATGTTATGACCCAGCCATTCCACTCTTGGATATATATTTGTATTAGTGTGGCTGCCATGACAAAATACCATAGACTGGTTCCTAAACAACAGAAATTTGTTTTTCACTGTTCTGGAGACTGGGAAATCTAAGATCAGGGTGCTTGCTGATTGGATTCTTCTTGGAGAACGTTCCCTCCCTGGCTTATAGCTTTTTTGTACTATATCTTCCCATGGAAGAGAGAACTAGTTCTGGTGTCTGCCTCTTTCTCTTCTGATAAGAGCACCAGCCCTATTGGATGAAGGTCCCACTCTTTTTTTTTTTTAATGTTTTATTTATTCCTGAGAGAGAGAGAGAGAGAGAGAGGGAGAGAGAGAGAGAGAGACAGCGTGAGCAGGGGAGGGTGAGAGAGAGGGAGGGACAGAATCTGAAACAGGCTCCAGGCTCCGAGCTGGCACTCAGCACAGAGCCCGACACGGGGCTTGAACCCATAAACCGTAAGATCATGACCTGAACCGAAGTCAGACGCCCAACCAACTGAGCCACCCAGGTGCCCCTGGATGAGGGTCCCACTCTTAAGACCTCATTTAACTTTCATCCCTTACTCAGGGACCCTATCTCCAGATACTGTCACATTGGCTATTAGGGCTTCAATATTTGAATTTCAAGGGGTTGCAAACATTCAGTCCATAACAGTACCCAACAGAAATTATGTGTACATGTTCTCCGAAAGACAAGTAGTAGAATATTCATAGCAGCACTATTCATGTTTGCAATATTCAAACTGGAAATTACTCAAATGACTGTGAACAGTAGAGGAGAGAAACGAATTGTGGCATATTCACTTGATGGAATACTATATAGCAATGACAACCTATTCACACATAGCATGTATGAATCTCATGAACATAAGGAAGAGTGAAAGAAGCCAGACGCTAAAGGGCTTGTAATTTGCTTTCATTTATATGAGGTATAAAAAGTGGGCAGGATTCATCTTTGCTGTTAGAAGGCAGGGTAGTGTTCACCATTAGCAAGGGTGGAGGTATAGGGGGGCCAGTGATTAGAAGGAGTGTAAGGGGACTTCTTGGGTGTTGGCATTGTTCTGTTCTTTTACTTATCTCTATACTTCTTTATTTTAAGACATTTTTAGGGTAATTTTAGGCACACAGAACAATTAAG